GGCACTCTCCGAAGCCGTTGCTGAGGTTAGACTACGTACCGGACACAATTGCCCGGCAAAACACCTTCACAGATTAGGAGTATACACTCAGCCAACATACCCCCTATGTAACCTACAGGAGGAAATGGAGAAGAAAGACCTGTTTCGGTGTTCAGCTCTAAAGACAACGACGGAAACCCAGAGATACTGGGAAGAGAGAAGACAACTTATGAATTGCTATTAATTAACTGCTATATATGTACCCCCACCCATGAGGAAAGCTGAAGTCAAAGTTTAAGGGGTAATGATAAATATCATAAAGCCTGCCATTTGAAGTAATAATAATGATAAATATGTCAAGAACTGCATAAACCTGAAATGACTAAGTTACCTGTTTTTCTTTGGTTCATAAATCTCACAAGAATCGAGAACCTTATCATCGTCCATGTCAGCGCCTCCAACAACAAGGATATTTTCTTCATTTGCAGTGGCACAATGGTCACATCTCTTCTCATTCAAGTTACCAACACGCTCTATTCTATTCTGTTGTGTGTCAATTCGATCAACAATTGAAGTGGTGTGATGCTCGCTGTCTTTACCTCCAATGACATAAAAACTTTCTACGAAAAATCAGTGCCGTAAATTCTGTCCTTACCTTTAAAAGCAACGGTTGCAACAAAATACCGAAAAGGAACTTCGCCATCAATCACATCTACTGAAGGAGTTAAGGACATCATTTTTCCACAATGAGTATCGTTATTGTAACCATATAAGAAGGATGTCATATTAGGTTTAAAACTGATTCTAAATGAAAGATCGATTAGTGAATAAATTCCAAGCTCACTGTTGTTGGGATGATCCACTGGAGCTGTTAAGAGCAAAGAAAATCAATAAAGTTTGAGCACATTCAGCAGTGAAGTGGGTCGACTTATTTCACTAAGCTAAGCACACTTTTAAAATTCATAATTTTGAAAAAAGCCAATTATAGCACGGTGAATAGTGGTGCTCTTTTTCTTCCAGTAATATACGTCATAAAACACTAGGCCAATATCCTTAAGCAATGTGAAGCCAACTTTAACAGGTGAATTTTGAATTAGAAGAACTTAATTAATGTGTTATTAAATTTCATTCGCCTATCTAAAAAACCTTTTCAAATGGATTTACAAAAGACTAATTAAAATGCTTAATTATTAAGGTATTTGGTTGGATTAATTGCTCGGCATGTCTTTGGTCATTTAAAGAGTTTAGTAAAAACCATGCAAACTTACCTGTTAGAGAGTGAAGATTTGCTATGTGAGCCTTTACTGCAATAGATAAAAAATCGAATGGTTTAATAGCAGTGCTTTAAATTAAAATTATTAAGAATTTTGTTGACATTGATTAAATTTAATTATAATTTCATCCTAATGGAAGTGATCGGACTTATCTTCACCATTATTCACTTAAACAAGGACTATTCATAGCAAAACAGATTGATTGTATCTCACAGCCAAATCGAATAGAAAATGATGTCTATTGAAAGCAGGCGGAGTGTTTGATGTATTCAGCTGATAAAATAGTTAATCAAAATCATTCTTATCTTCATCATATTTATTAAGGTAAAGCATTTTATACCAATAGGACTAAGGGTTATTTGACATTAGTTATTGACAACTAAAAAATGAGAAACTAAACTGATCGTGCAGGCAGTAGGGTTGGATTTACCAGACACAGGCTAGCATGGAAACACAGTGCCTAATGAGAAACAGATAGTTAACCGTCGGCATGTTAGGATGTTCGCTCGGTCTTGCCTGTGCATCCTTGCTGATTTCATCTCGTTTCACTAGTTTCATATACTTATGAGCCTTTAGACCTTTTTATTCAAGGATGCCTTGCCCGAATATACACTTATCTTGGGAATGCTTTCTTTGAAATAGTAAATGTGCACCAACCATTCTGGTAGTTAATTAAAAAGCTATGAAAATACTTAAATTTTCCCCATTGTGGAGCGCATAACGTTATCATTAATGGGCAAAAAAGTTTCATCCTCATTCTCAGACAGAGTCAAAGGTACTTTTCACCTATGGAAGGAGTGCTTTCGTGGGCACAAAGATCTCTCACCCAACCACCAAGCAAAAGACGCTACATTATCCAACAAACCCTTGATTGCATTTTGATGACTAAGGTCGGTGCCAGACACACGCAATCCAAGTTAACGTATTCCACGTCGTACATTCTTATTCCTCTATACTGTCGAGGTAGCAGCTTAGCTAACTACTAGAGGAAATTGTCATAAAGTTTACTGATAATAGGTCAAAAGTTATTCGTCTAGCAATCCGCTACACTTTATGGAGGTGAGGACTGAACTATTTGCTTTCAACTCTCATAGTAGTAAGGCATGAATATATTGTGGCTCTAAGCAGAGTTGTAAACATAAATATATCGAAACCGTAGAAGCAAATCTCCCAACACATTTTCCTAATTATACTCCTATAATTGTGCATCTACCTGCCCGAATATAATTATGCCTCATCGTTTTTTTTAGAAATCCGGGAGTTTTTACTACAAGTAAAATTAAAAAACCATAATATACTTAACTAAACGGCTCGAGACGGAAAAATGTTTACTCAATACGATACAAGAGTAGAATAAACCATTTGGGGATGAAACGTGAATGGTAACAAGTTTTTTGAAAATGCGTTTTACGCCTTACCTGTCGCTTTCTTTTCCTGTTGCATTCTCATAAGCATCAAAAAGGGTTTGTCTAAAATAGGGAAAAATATTGATTAATTATTTCTTATTTAGTTTATGAACAAAGATAAAAAATTTTTACCGACCAGCGGGGTAATATTGTTGGGTTGAAAGAGAGTCGCTACTTTCTACTGCAACCCTCGATAAGCGCAATATTAAGGTGTTGGGCAAAAACTTGGGTAGACTCAAACCTCTGATCAGGATCATAAAATTACCAACCTCCCCATATTCAACTTCTTTCGTTCTCTTATAGTAACAAGTAGAGCCGTGCAATCAGTAATGTATTTCTCATAGTTTTAACAGACAACCTAGTAATACTGAATCCAAGAGCCAGGAAATGGAACAAAATAGTCAGTAGTATTAAGGGTGGCTAGAAGCTCTAACAGCACTGCGATCTTAGGGTTAAGATTTCGCAGCGTCATACGATGTTAAAATCTGGCCCAACGATTCCTTCTGAGAAATTTGCATGGGAAAGTTTCAATGAAGAAGAGACAACAGATACCAAGAAGGACTGACAAGTTTATATAAGACCAAGACCAAGGAAATTGGGTCAAGATACCAAGACGGCTGTCATGGCTCAACCAACATAGCCAACAAACTCGACTCCCCTCTTCAGAACCGTAAAATCGTGAAGTACAAAGATGCTGACCGTGTTTGAATAGTTGCAATGTTTTTGTACTCTTAGAAGTCACTGTTCCTCAAGTGCAGGAAGCAATATGAACTTTCAGTGTCAACTCTGTCATAACTCGAGTTGCCAATCACTTAGGTCTTTACTTTCCTATTTCTCCGTCGACTCACTCCTCCATCTCCTCGCGGACACTTTTACTTGCCCAATCTGCGCATGATCCTGATTAAATCGAAGTCTTCTCGTCCAGAAATGACCTTTTCATCCTTTTGGTCAAAATAAAGACCATTACTTGACGAATAGAATTTCTGAACTTCCTTGATTCATTCAACAATCGAGTTAGGATTTAAGTTACCTTTATCAATTATCTATCTTCTAATAATTTTCCATAAAGTTATATGTTATAAATGAAAATTCAACCACATTAAGATATTTTCATTATTCGCACAGAGGAACCTACATATAAGCAAGATTGAAGGAAATATGGGATGTTACAGCAACGATTTCAATAATAGCCCTCTCGTCGATTTCCTTCCAATTGAGACCATTTAAAATTTCAAGGAAGCTTTCAGGGGATAAGCTATTGTCTAGCGGTTCCAGCCACTTACTAAGCATCATTAATTTTTCGAGACTTGTTAAAGTTGGAACTTCTTTTATTATACATCGCATTGATTCTTGGTGTAAGTTTTGGTAAAAGTTATTTTCCAGTTGATGAATGTTCGAGCTGTTCAACATTGACTCGGCACACAACTTTGTTAAAGCTCTGTTTCCCATTGTTATGGCTAATTCCCAAACCTGAGGAATGTCGAATTCATTAAACCACTTTTTGATGAAATCAGTGCACCATCTACGAATCCGAGAACATCCCAAATCATTGCTCAACTTGCAGATTTGTAAAACAGTACTGGTATCAAGTGTGATTGTTCCCGTATAAGCGTATTCTAAAATGGATTTCACAATTCTTCAAGGAATAATAATGAAATATAGGCAAATTTACTTCGAAGGAAGACTTTTCCAATCGATCTGGCAATTTTCAAATGTCTTGAAACGAATATAGAGTATTATCTTATGAGCTGGAAATTCCTCATCGATTGACTTAAATAAATAATTTAAGTGTTAACGAAAGAAAACCACACCTACCGGTATGACAGTATCAACAAGTTTACCCTCTTTGAGTAAACCATTGAAAACCTTAATGGAAAGAACTTTAGCATCAGGTTCAAAGTATTCTTCTTCGTGCATCTTATCGCTTCAAATGACGTATTGCGTAAAATATCACCTGTATCACATATTTGTGAAGCGCTTAGAACCATTTAACCAACCAGTAAAAAGGTGGCTTAGTCGCACAGTACCACTTAGGCATTAAAGTCAACAGAAGGCGGGAGATGGTAGCTTTAACAAAGTAGATGATTGATTTCACCCCATATTCTCTCCAATTGGATAGGATAAATATATCGGAAGAATATAATGCAATATTGAAGATACCACCTTAAATAATTTTGCTTGAAGCCTCTGCATTAAGCCCCCTATAAATGAAATACTTTTATGTCTTAACGAGGGGTGCGCAATAGACTTACCTCCACGTGGTGCACCCTGGGCAACGTATACTTATGCGGCAAAAAGTCTATTTATCGGCAGTTGACTTCTGACTTCAAATTACTACGACGCGACTATTTGTCACATTCGACCCCTTTCACAGTACTCATCTTACCTTTTCTCTGCCTTTGTGTCTGTCTGTCTCTTTTACATCTGTGAATCACTCTTCTTTTCCCCCCTCTCGACTTGTTGTCACTTTGATGTTCCACCTCCTCTCTGTGAAGCCTGAAGCCAACTAAAAGGCTAATGATAACTATCAAAACGCCTGACATTTGATATAAATAAATAAATGTCTTAACGAAGTGTTTTATATGCTTCACATTCTTCATAATTAGGAAATGGTTATTTATCCAACTTTCCATATTTGCGAATAACTGACCGTCATGACCATAAAATTTGACTACACACATTTTCAACGATATTAGCACGAGTAAAGCAAAGTTAATACTAAATAAATGCAAATTTTGTTTTGAAAAAAATATGCTCAGATATTTATTTAAGTAAGATCTCAAAAGGAAAAAGAATCTTCTTCTTTTAACAACCATATATATGATAAATCACATGATAGGTTGTATTAATTATAAAGTTATTTCAAAGAAAAATTTCATGTGAACTCATGTAAATGGATAAAAGAAA